TTTTTTTTGGGGTCCCGTTTTTGTCTTCATTTCTGTCGTCTTCTTTGTCGTCCTCTTCTTCTAAGTGGTATTGATCTTCGTCTGACAATCACTACTTCACGATCTTCACACGGAGTTGCATGCAGTGTTAGGGCATCGCCACCCCAATCTCGAAATGTGCAAAATGAGAACGAACTTCCCGCTAGAACATGGCCAGATGCACCTGCCAATTTTTTGTCTTTTTCACATTTCCAGAGTGGTGCGGCGAGCCCCCCCCTTAGTCGTAGTCACCGGGTAATCTCGCATCATCACAGTACATTAAAAAAACTTGCATCATCAGCCCACAATGTACCGGGGCGAGATTCCCCAATTCGTTCGTACAACGAGCATTTTTCACCGCCGAAGCTTCTCCCAACACGGGGTCTCATCCCCGTAACCCTACCCACAGCGGTAAAAAACGTTTTTACCGCTTACGACCAACTGCACTTGAGCGATAGCTAGCCGGGGTCTCATCCAAAGCGGTAAAAAACGTTCTTACCGCTTCAGCTTCTCCCAATACGGGGTCTCATCCCCGTAACCCTATCCACAGCGGTAAAAACCGTTTTTACCGCTTACGACCAACTGCGCTTGAGCGATAGCTAGCCGGGGTCTCATCCAAAGTGGTAAAAAACGTTTTTACCGCTTACGACTACTGCGAAAAAGGGTAGGAATGAAACGAACAAGTCGGAACAACCATATGATTATATAATTAAATAATAATTTATATTACCGCTTTTAACTTCGTCCACAGGTCGCCTGCGTACGGTATCAATTCAGAAAATTTCAGACAGACTGCGGTAAAAAACGTTCGCAAATTTCGCATTTCACACGTAAACCTGTACCTCTATCGCCTACCTCCATGCATCGGCGCTTCATTAGGACATCCTAAATTTCCTAATCAATTGGAGCGTCAATTTCCAGACAAGGTCGCATTTTGCCGCAAAGGAGTCCAGACCTTGAAGAAGAACGAATCCGGGCCTGAGGTTCGTTCTCGATGAGCACCACCGAACCTGGACCGGAATCAAGCCACGTTCAGTCGAGATGTAACTCATTTCCTCTCCTACTTGCTTCACCATCCTCTGCTCGTTTCCAATCCCCTCCCTCCTCCCTCTCCTTCTTCTTGTCTTTCTTTTTTACCTCTTTCTTCTTTCAGCTTCGCTTCGCTCTCCTTTCTTTCCGGTTCCTTGGTTCTCCTTCTCCTTCCTTTTTGCTGCTTTGGCTTCCTCCTTGGCCAATCACAGAGACACCAACTCCTCCTTTACCGACCCAGAGTCGCCAGCACTTCCTCCAGGTTGTGATGACGACGATGAAGACCAGTCTCTCCCAGGCACCTATTCGGCGACCCTCCTGCTTTCGGCTGATCGCTCTGTTGGCCGCTGTACTTCCAACACTCGAACCCGTAGTGACCGCGCGTCGGACGCTGATTCTGTTGATTCATCGCCTGTTCCCGAGGACTCGCGAGAAGTGGCAGATCGGAGGTCCACCCCGCCCCTCGGCGGACCAATCCGAGGATTGCTCTCCAATCCGCTCCCTCATATTCCTACAGGAGCAGCACATCGGAGGAGGTCCTCGCCTGTTCCGCCGATTGGTCCTCGGTGGACCAATCGGCCGCCGATTCCCACAGCCGCCCCGCCCCTCAGCTGACCAACCCGAGGATTGCCCCTCGGCGGCTGATTCCCTTGATCGCCTGTTCCCTAGGATAGACCTCCTGACACGATCTCTTCAGTCCTCCGACCGGTTTCACGCTGCTTCTTTCTCACACCAGCACACTCCTTCCACCGCATGAAGATCGAGGTCTCGAACACCAGAGTCGCAGTAGTCTTCGCCCGATCGTTTGACGAGGGCTGCGTCAGCTGTCAGGTATACACTGACAATGACAACTTCACGATCTTCACACGGTTTGGTTTGGTGTGGTTTGAACTTCGGACTTTGAAATGCGCTTTCCAATTTTCCAAGTTTCCATTTTATTTTATATATTTTATCATTTTCTTGAATTCTTTTTATCTTCGGTTCAACGTGGAATTCCGATGCCGTCGATGATATAAAAAAATGAAACTCAGATGGGTAGTCCGATGTTTATTATTTATTAATATTATTATTTTTTTGTAACTACGCTACATTCTTCTCTCAAATCTTTCATCATCTTTCAAATTCTTTCAATTCACCTTCACTACCTACCTGCCAACCACTACTCTAAGGCTTATACAGGGGACCCCCCCTTTTTTTTTTTTTTTTTTTTTAACTGCGCTACGCTCTTCTCTCAAATCTTTCATCATACGTTCTTTCAATTCACCTTCACTACCTACCTACCTATCACTACTCCTAAGGCTTATACAGGGCACCCTTGCGAACATAGCTTTGTTGTCTCCCTCCAGCCATAGCCCCGTGTGGACCTGTTTTTTTTTTTCTTTTTTTTTCTTTTTTTTTTTTAAGATGGACTTAGTGGTCTTGTTTGGTTTCAACTTCCAAATGTAATCCCTATAGAGTAGTGTAGAGTTCTATAGACTCTTCACTGAGTCTTCATCCAAAGACTGTTTCTGCTGTACTTTTACCCAACATGTTTTTTTTTTAATTTTTTTTTCTTCTTCTTTTTCACCAGAGTCCTGAACATTTTTTTGTGATTTTTTTTTTTTTTTTGTGCACTGGGGGTGTCTGGGACCCGCCCTGTCTCCACCGAGCCAGACCAGGTTGGCAGAGGCAGCAGGGCACCCAGCCTGGAATCCCTCCAAGCTCTGTTCTGAATTTATTTATCGGCGAATTGATAACTAACAATTGCTGTTTTTGTTTTTCCTTTTTCTTTTCTTGTTGCAGGTACTGTCAATTTTGTTTTCTCTCTCTCTCTCTCTCTCTCTCTCTCTCTCTCTCTCTCTCTCTCTCTCTCTCTCTCTCTCTCTCTCTCTCTCTCTCTCTCTCTCCTGCAGGTGACGCAGGTTCATTCTTGTTGTCTGTTCGAACTTCGACGCATATCACATGGAGCAGAAGGTTTTTGGGAGTTACAAATTGCTTTTAATTTTTAAAAAAGTTTCAATTTCTTTGGAGATTAAATTTCTGAAGATCCAAAACCACAGCACCCCTTTTTGTTGGACGTTTTTTTTTTCTTTTTTTTTTCTTTTTTTTTTCTTTTTTTTGTTCTTTTTTTTTTTCTCGATGAATACTGACGAGTAATTGTAGACTAATTGTAATCCTGCGGTCTTAGAAATGTCTTCGTGGATAAGCGCGTTTTTTTTTTTTTCAAATGTATATCGCCTTTCCTTCTTTTTCTTTTTTTCTTTTTTTCTTTTTTTCTTTTTTTCTTTTTTTTTTTCAATTCCGGGCTGCGTGCCCGAGGCAAAAATACATGAAATACAGCACAGAAAAAAAAAGGGTCGCAAGGCCTCCATCTTCGACTCCAAGTGAAGCAACACTCCTGCAGCAAAAGACAACTGTAAAAAAGAAAAAAAAAAAAAAACGATTTTCAAGTGGAATGATATTAATAATATTTTTATATTACTAAACTTGGAATTTTTTCAGTGCGAAGTCTTTTAGAAATTTCTACCTGGGTCTTTATGCATATGTTGCTCACACCCTCTTTGGAAGAGGGTGCGAGTAAAAAAAAAAAAAAAAAAAAAAAAAAAAAAAAAAAAAAAAAAAAAAAAAAAAAAAAAAAAAAAAAAAAAAAAAAAAGAAAAGGGGTGTGAGTAACACTGCCACTAATCTGCCCTCTTTGTCTTTTTCTTTTTTTTTTTCTTTTAATGAAACAAAAAAAAGTGTGAGTAAAAAAAAAAAAAATGAAAAAAAAAAGGGGTGTGAGTAACACTGCCGTCACTCTGCGCTCTGTCTTTTTTTTTTTTTTTCCTTCCTGTTTCTTCCGAGCCTGATTTTCGCTGGGCACCGAGTTTTGCCGAGCCGGGGGCAGTTGCATCCAAAAAGGAACAAAGGAAAAAAATATAAAAATAAAAATCAAGAACGCCGTGATAACGATCAGATACGTTCTGTGAGGTGCTAGTGTGACTGTGCCCTCAGCAAGGGCGTGTGTCCGACAAACAACAGATAAAGAAAGGGCGGGGGGGGGGGGGGGGGGGGGGGGGGACATCCCTTATGCGGCGATCGAGGGCCGATACAGGAATTCTACAGCACTGGTATGAGGTAAATGAGGCCGTTAGCTGCCACGTGTGAAATAAAACCCTGCCTGGCTATCAGGGCACTACAAGGACATGAAAACAAGAAAGGACAAAAAAAAAAAACAAAAAAAAACAGCAATCACTTTCCTCACATAGTGCACTGGTGTAACTTCCACCCCCCTTTGTGAGGGCGTTCCCCGACGCCCCTGGATCCAAAACGCTTAGAGGCCCGTAGCTGTTGTACTATTCGAACACTCGCAGCAGTCTCGTACATCCAACATTCTACATGTACGTGGACCATTTTCTGGACGAGATACATGCAGACTGACCCAACATTTTGGATGTACGAGATCATGATCATGGCATTGGGACGGGCTCCACGGCGCAGTATTGTAAATGTATCTGGAGTAGGCAATGGTCTCATACATCAAAAATGTTGGGTCGGTCTGCACATGTATCTAGTCCAGAAAATGGTCCATGTACATGTAGAATGTTGGAGAGTGTAGCGGCTGTCTCTTATACACATCTAGATGTGTATAAGAGACAGCTCTCTGTGTGCCCTTCTGCTGATCTTTGTTCTCATGTGGTTGCTGGCAGGAATTTGTGAAGACGG